ACGAATCTGATAATCCCGCAAGTTATCGGATTCAAGTTATCAAAATCAGTAAAACGGAAAACAATAAATAAAAATTAAATAAACAAGAAAAATTATCAATAATAAGTTCTAAAAGTGCGGGTGGCCCCCGGTTTAAGTCACAAAGTGCTATAACGTCGCAAAAGTTTGTGTGAGAGTGAGTGATTAAGGTTAGATCACACCGAAAAGCCACCTGGCTACTAGACTACCTGGTCGGTCACCACAATCGGCCAACACGGACTGTCCACCAGTAGGTGACATACTGAACTTCGCCTTTTGCATTTAAATGTATTTTTTTACTATATGTAAATGTTTATTATTTACTTGCAATAAAGTCATATTATTATTATTATTATTATTATTATTATTATTAAGTAATTTTCCTAATTGCATGACCTAATAATAGTACCAATTCGATTCTAATCAATACACTATTCTTTAAAAACATATATACGCTAACTGGCTTCAGAAAACAAACAGGTCCCTACACTGAGAAAAGTAAACTCTTATTTCAAGATTTAATTATTAACTGAACAGTTTTTGCACATTCAATACGAACAATGTGCATAATGGTTTTATTTAAAAGTCTCGATGTTACTTACAGTTTTTTACATTAAATATTAATTTTTATTACTACAAAAATTGTACAAAGATTTCAATTAATGCAGTTCAGACATTAATTTAATGAATAAAATCTTTGATATAAGCACTCTTGTACAACAACCTTTGATTGTTTGTTTTATTTTATTTGTTTGAAAAAAAAAAGAAAAAATAATTTTAATCAACATAATAATAATTTTAATCAAATAAGTATAACATTTCCGTAAGTGTTAAACTAACAACCTCATTTTTCTTAGTGTAGCCAACCCATAATCAACTTAACCAAATAAAAAAAAGCGTAAGAGTAAATAAACCAAATCAAGCATGAACGACACAAAATATAGAATTTTATAAATAAGTGTTGTGTGTGTGTAATAGGTATATATATTGTATGTATATGCAATTGAATATAGACACTAACTAAGAGATCAGCTAATAAATCAAAGCTTAAAATAAACAAAAGCCAAAAAGTAAATGAGCACGTAAACATCACAACATCACAGAAGATAAGAAGAGCGACCCTCAGCCAAGGCCTGACAATAGGGCCGTATTCCAAATTATTACGTACCCTTCAGGGCCGGCTTTATCTATTTTGTATATTAATATTTATATTAGTATTGTTAAACTAAATTTAAAAAAAAGTAAGAATGCAAAGATAAATTAAATGGTAAACGGTATAATACACTAATTTAACAATAAAATAAATAAATAATATACAAGGTCGATAGTCGGTACTCGGCATGAGGGGTTGATTATCCACGAAGGCAGAGGGCACTTACGGCGGGTCGTGATCATAGGGCCGTATCCCAATTACGTACTCTTCAGGGCCGACTTTATCTATTATTGTATATTAATATTTATATTTTTAAATTAATATGGATAAAAGTAAAAATGCAAAGATAAAAATTAAATGTAAACGGTATAAACACAAATTTAACAATAAAACCAATAAAGATTATATATAAAGAATATACAAGGTCGGTAGCCGGTTCTCGGCCTTAGGAATATCCACCAAGGCAGAGTGCACTGACAGCGGGTCGTGGCCGTCAACACTTCGGTAGTGAAAACAAGATTCAGTATCTCACAGGGGGGCAAAGAGGTTACCAGGAACCGGAAACTGACTCGGACAGAGACGTTCAGAAGTACACCAACAAGGACAGATTCTAGCAGCGTACTAACACTTTTGCCCCCATTCATGAATCCCAATTGAATGGGGTTATTACTAAAGCCCCGGTTAAGGAGGATTCCGAATTGTACTTAGTTTTGAGTCAGTTCCAATGTCCTCCAAAAACCAACTTTTACCCTCCTTGTCCCGCTCTCCACTGGCCTAAACTGAGCGTATGGCCCGACCCGGCGACAAAAATCCGGGAGTGGCCTTAACCATCAACACTGTCATCCACGACCTCCTAGGGTAGATATACCAGCCGGCGTAAAAACTTCGGATCCAACAAACACAGGTAATGCTGTGCAGTGGCGGGATACGTAGGAGAACAGAAAGGGGGTAAAAGTAACCCTGGGAGATTAGTGTAAGGTAATGTAGATGGGGCCTGCCATACGTCCCCATACTCATACTCACTTAAACTTCGTTTAGGCACACCGTGTACACTGTACACTGTACAGTGCAATTTTGACAAGATCATACAAATAAAAATCGTGATTGGCTTGGAACTTTAAATGGTTTGTAAACACGTAATGGAAAAATATCATTAGACCTACCTAAGTACTTGTAACGCGTTTCTGTTACATTGTTCATGTACATAAGGATCGAAACGAAACTGCATCAAAACATGCGCTACAAAAAATGATAACAAAACTCTGAGAAACGATACTTATTAGTACCAAAATAAGTAACAAAATGTAGGTAACGGTTTCAGCGGATTTTTTTTTAATTCAAAATTACATATAGTCGCAGCCAAATCTGCATGGGTGTACGTTAGGGTGTCCCTTATTTTTTATTTTTTTACGCATACCCTCTAATTATATTTATTACGTGTTTATATACTCCCAGTAAAAATTTCAGCTCATTCTATAAACGGGAACCCGTGCCGACTTGCATCTGAACCCTCCATTAGCCAACGTTGGGCGCGCGGTATTTTGTAACACGGTTGGCCGCTAGGTCTTCGATCGTAAGTAATTTTGTGTTTGTTATTATGTGACCCTTATATTATAAATTATTAAAAAATGTTAAAATATAGTTTTATTTATGTATATACTTTAATAAAAATGAATATTTTTACAGGAAGTGGCTAGTTACCCGGAAGTGTCGGGTAAATAGACCGTAAAACTAATTACCCGAAACTCTTTTTTTTATTATATCTGAATGACAACTAAAAAATAACCAAAAAAAAATTAGTTGATTTTATCCCTTAAATATATTAATATACTAATTAGTATTGCTAAAATATACTGTTATATGAAATTTCAGCTTTTTATAAGCATTTCTTTTCTTGATGTCCTCCCAAAAATATTTCAGACAGTTTTCGGTAGTCATCTCTTACAATAGACTCTTTTAGTTATTTAGAGTAAATCCCATTAAGTTTATCAATTTCAGAGTTTACGGCATATTCACTAGACCCTTCCGGGTAACTAGCCACTCCCTGTAAAAATATACATTTTTATCAAAGTATACACATAAATAAAACTATATTTTAACATTTGTCAATAATTTATAATATAAGGGTCACATAATAACAAACACAAAATGACTTACGATCGAAGACCTCGCGGCCAACCGTGTTACAAAATACCGCGCGCCTAACGTTGGCTCACGGAGGGTTCAGATGCAAGTCGGCACGGGTTCCCGTTTATAAAATGAGCTGAAATTTTTACTGGGAGTATATAAACACGTAATAAATATAATTAGAGGGTATGCGTAAAAAAATAAAAAATAAGGGACACCCTAGTGTACGTCATTAATGCGGTATAATATCAACTTTTAATTTCAAAGTTACTGACGTTAAATGTGTTTTTTAAGGCGCAAATATAATTGTTTTATACTTTACAAGAAGCACTATAAATAAAACATCGTTTTATTTAACTAACTAAATATATTTTAAGATTCAGGAACACAAATTTACATGTCTAGAGCTTTGTTATCTATCGTCTATAGCAACCATTCAAAAGTAACTAGATTGTACAAGTACTACCAACTTAATATAAACTAAAGTATAAATATTCAAATATATAACAATAATGGGTTTAAAAATAATTAATTCATTTGCGTATTGTTTACCAAAAACTGTAACAATTTCCCTATTTTTAAAAGTTTTTTTTTTTCACTAAATTATGAAAATAAAACCATTCACTTGGTAATTTTTGTGTGTGACAGTTGCTAAAAGCTTAAGCCAACGCAATATTATTGATGGGTCAGCCTCATTTTATATTTGACTTTTTTTGTAATTTTGACATTACGTGGGTGAGCATCGTTTGTTGCAGATTATTATAAATAATTTTATACATTACAATTGTGATTATGGTTTTTTTAAACAATGTTCCAAGCCTTGTTAGTAACGCCGTTATTGGATTGCGTATTTAGTATGTTTGTGTGTTCTGATAATTACAAATTTTTTTGTTTTGTACATATGTAATAAAAATGTAATAACCTCTGTTTGTTCCCTTTCTTAACACATTTAATCAAAATTTGCCCATAACAATAATACTGATTTTATAATTTCATCTTAATAAACAGCCCCCACCGCTACAGTCCACAATACACGAGCGTTAGATTATGCCTGGGCCAATGCAGATTTGGCCGCCACTATACGAATTAACGGCTAAGGAAAACAACCATTAGGGTAGTCATGCGCAACGGTTGCTAAGAAAAAATCCTTATTGATAAGGACTGATAAGAAAAAATCAGAACAGAACGTCCATATAACGTTGGTCTCGCTAATTTTAAAGTGGTTTACCCCTCAATAAAAACAAATTTAAATTATTTGCTAGTGAAGTTCTTTAAAAGGAATATGTGGTGATTGATAATAGAAGGATTATATAATGGAATGGAATAGGTACTGAGATATAAAAATTAGCAAAGTGTTATATAATGTCAATTTCGAAATGAAAGAAGAACTGAGTAATAATAATTACAATTTTTATTCATAATTATTATAGATCAGTTAAAAAACTGTTCGCTAGCTATAAGATGTAATTTACTTTTCAAAATATTATCAGTAGTTCTTGGAAAGTAAAACCCCTCTTGAAAAAGAACCAATTTATTTAAACCCTAAATTTGAATTTTATATTCACTGAAAAGCCGGGAAAAGTCTGGAAAATTTAGTTTAAGAAAAAATTGAAAACCGTGTTCTAAAAGTTCTTTGGTAATTTTGATTTTTTGATGAACAAGATGTGAGATTTAAGAAAATTAATAATTTTTATTTTTACAGGTCTTATAGGTCAACCAAATGTTGTTTTACCGTCTACTCAAGCCAATATTGTGATGAATAAACATTATATAAATAAGGATAATGTAATTTCCAGAAGTATACAATCACCACCTCCATATTCATTGGCAGTTTCAACTAGAAAAGGAGGGTATACACAAACCCTGATTAAATCTGAGAATATCGAGGAAGCATTTCCACCTATCTTAAACAATGACATAAACAAACCAATATCAGAATTGACCCCAAGCAATGAAAATAAAGGTAAGTGAATAAAATATAAAAAGTATTTTATTACAGATTTTAGTTGGTCAGAAACATTTTTAGAAGAGTCCGGGAATTATTAATAATTTAATTTATATTAATTTAATACAATATAATTTTGGCCAGACAAAACGATAGCCCATGAAATTTATTGTCGTGTTTGTCTCTTTTTCATGTATGTCCATAATAATGCAAAATTTTCCAGATTATGTGTAAACCCAAAACTGTTTCTTCAACTTTTTAAGGATTTAAATTATTTACATCTCTCTAATAAAATGAAGCAATTAAGTTCAACTTAAATTTACTTTTTAAAATATTATCAGTAGTTCTTAAAAAAATTAAATACTGTAATATTAAAAATATTTTTTTTCTAGAAATCGTATAAGTAACATTTTAAAGTCGGTGAATTTTTAATAATTACTGGAAAACCGGATAAAGTTTGTTCCAAAAAAAAGTGATATCCTTTTGGTAAACTTTTTTCCAAATACAGAATGTAATAAAAGTTTTATATATATATTTTGTTAGTATAAAAATTATAAAATAAAAATTTATAATTTTTGAAACGAATAAAATGTTTTAATAAAAATGGAAAACAACTTCATAATAGGGGCATTTCCTGTGAAGCGAAAAAAATTCGAGATTATGAAATTAGTTCACATTCCGCCTAATTGTACTTCTAGAAGATGTGAGTAAATCCAAAACTATATTTTCGCATGAGGCTTGGTAACCAAGCCTATTTTGACAGGTTGTCCTGTCAAAATAGGTAAAAATCTCGGTCAATTGACCAGGCACAACCCTAGTCACAAGTATGCTCCGCAAGCGAAGGCTACAAGTACATAAAGTGGGTCCACGCTGGAGAGGCACGTAAAGCGAGGATGTTCGCAGGGACGGGTATTATCGCCCATGCTGGCGCCGGAATATATGGGCGCATAGGCAACGTGACTATCATTGGGACCTAACTAGCACCCCAGGGTACCCGAAACTTGATAATAATATTATTAATATAGATAATGCCCTTTGAATTAAAGAAGCGCCAGGAACCACGCTTAGTATAAACGCGTATGTACTTTAATACATCCATCTTCTAAACTAATGTAGATCCCATTTTAAAACTTTTAGTGCATTATCTATATAATTAATATTATAATCAGGTTTCGGGTATTGTTAATTTGTTTACAACTTCTACACCTTTTCCAGTTGATATTCAGAAAGTAGCAATTGATATTCAGAAAGCAGCAATTGATTTTCAGATATTGCAAATAAAATTCAGAAAATAGCAAATGTAATTCAGATATTTCAAATGATATTCAGAAAGTAGCTGATGTAATTCAGATATTGCAAATGATATTAAGACAGTAACAATTGTAATTCAGAATATGTCAATTGAAATTCAGAAATTAACAAATGATAACATTTTTATACTTCATTTTACTTATTTTCTAAAATCTCAATTTCATGTATTTCTTTGTATAATGCTTTGTTTCCATGAAATTGACAATAATAAACAAATTTATCACCATTTAAGTAGGTATATTTGTCATAATTGTCAACTTATTGCAAGTAAGGACCGGATTTTGTTCATTTGTACTTTGTAGAAATTTCATTTACTTAGTTAATAAAGATAACGTGTACTTTCAATCATCATCGATTTACTGTGTGCAACCCACTGTTCCTAAAACAATTGCTGCGGCTGAATTACATTTGATTTAATCTGAAAAACATTTGCTACTTTCTGAATTACAATTGCAAGTTTCTGAAAATCAATTGTGTTATCTGAATTACAATTGCTACTTTCTTAAAATCAATTGTGTTATCTGAATTACATATGCTACTCTCTTAAAATCAATTGGAATAGCTGAATTACAATTCCTACTATCTAAATATCAACTGGAATAACTGAATTACAATTCCTACTTTCTGAATATCAACTGGAAAAGGTGTAGAAGTACTTAAGTATTTAAGCCGAATGTGAACGCATTTCAGAATCTCAAATTTTTTTCGTTGTCCGCCTCACATGAAATACCCCAATAATGAAATAAAAAAACAACTATCAAACAATATAAATTTAATAAAAAACCACTTTAAATGCCAATATGTTGATACCCATTTTATGCAAACACTTTGCAACGGTTTTGTAAACAATTTAATCAAAATGTGTTTGTGTTTCAAGGGATATAAAAAGTTATTTTTCTGTTTACTATAACCTAGATTCATGCAGTGTTTAACGATTATACGTAAGTTAGTGCGCTGTTTTTTTACACCCTGTATAAAATTTAGTTCAAATAATATTTATACAGTGTGTTAGGAAATAAATGGTAAAAAATCAAGCGTAATACGCCACCCCAAATAAGCGTTTTTGGTTTTGGAAACATGTGTTTGGAGACGCTCCTTATCGAGCTACATATCCCGTATATGTTTTTTTAATAAGCAAAACTTATTATTAAGGTTTTAAGTTGCTCAGGTGGGCTTTGTTAGTGCCTCAGCACTATTCCGCTCGCGCATTAAACGTCCTAGGTAGGGGGTAGAAAATAAGAAAGTTGATATCTACTCAGAAAAAAAAACAAACACCCTGGTTTATATAAAAAAAAATTTGGGTCATCAGATTTGTTGCTTACAATTTTTTAGTGACTGTAGTTTCTGGGATACAGTCCAAATAACGAGAGAAGCCCGTTGCATCATCGATTATATTCGCATGAATCATTTTGGAGACGTATGTCGCAACAGTTCCAGCAGTCACATTTTAATACATTCAACAAACGAAGCGCTATGATAAGACCTTGAGTGAACAATCAACGCTAATACGGAAATAATCTGTTGTCTTTGCCATCATTGCGGTTTTACCAATACAGCCTAAGAAACCATGATTTTCCATACATACCATTTCTTTTTAACAAATTAAGCCCGACATTGACGCTGTGCATAACTCGACAATAAATTTATGACGCAACGGACTTTTTTTCGTGATTTTGACTGTATTCGTTGTAACAGTTATTTTGACGATTAAACAGGTTTATACGTTATATATGATTTAGCTTTGTTTTAAGTATTAGAAATTCAAATAATAAAGATGTATACCGGGTTGCCTAAGTTGAAATGACAAAATACAATTTAAGTTAATATTTTATTTGAAAACCAGAAGTGGGCCGATGCTACATGTACAGCATGTAATTTTTATTTCTCTATTAATATTAATATTTGGAGTATAAAGATTGGTTTTGGTTTTGTCGGGATTAAAAATGAATTAAATTGAATCTGGAAGTGTGTATGAGTTTTTTTGGTCTTATTCTTTTGGGTAATATATAGGGTATGTCAACGTTGCGTATCCCCCCCGCTGTCCGAGTCGTAGACACAGAAACTTTCGCTTTCACTTGCTCTTCGACCTTTGACAGCCGTGCGATATGCATTTGCAATTTTGTTTCATTCTAGATAAGCCTAGAAGAGGCGGTAAATCTTTATATGCATAGGCTAAGTTTGAGCAAACAGATCTGTGAAGTCCTTAAGTAATTGGACTTTAAGTTTTGGTTTAGGATTGACAGGTCTAAGATGTCGTTTAATCTCTGTTTGGCTATTTTGGGTTATGAAAAAACCCTTGTAAATAAGGTTTGTTTATGTAGTTCAAGTTTTTGTATGACAAATTTTTTTATGATGGCTTCACTTTGTTAACGACAACGTAGTTTGTGAAGCGACCTACCACTTCGACTTAGTGAAGAACATTAATTTCTTTAAATATGAATATTTGTTTAGAAATCAGTTAACGGTAGTAAAATTTTACATCCACAATGTACACCACATATGACCATATTAAGGTAAAATCAGTTGTATAATTTAACTTTACATATATACACTATAACACTGACTAAATAGTCAATAAATACCACCCTTAAATTGTCTTATTTACTTGAGAAATTTTAACAGCTGGTCACCATAAGACATTGGCGCCCATTCTTTTTATGCTGAACAAAAATAAGTAAGTATTAATAAACAATATTCCCCCATTGACCCATTGCTTCCCTGATAAAGGCTGCCGTACGCTATAACCTCAATTTAAGTTGATATCGTATTTAAGTGTATGGTCTATCTAACGTTGACCTTCCTGTGTCATATTGAAACATTGATCACATACTAATAGCCCATGTAAAACAAAATTTGATCAACTGTGATTTACATAGATAGATGTAATCAATGTACAGGAAGGTCAACGTAAGATAGACCATATACTTGCCTATCTCACCAAAAAAATTAAACATATATTTTAACCTCAACTCGAGGGCTATGGCGAACGGCAGCTTTACAGTGGTGAGATGGGTCGATGGGCAAATGTTGTTTCTCAATACTTACGTGCATTTCCAAAAGACAACAAAAAAATAAAAATGGGCGCCAGTGTCTTATTTAGGCCAGTTGGTAAAGTCCCCATAAGCTAGACAAAAAACTTAATGGGCATAAGGGCAATAAAAAAAAATCACGTTTAAAAATTATTAAGTATAATAAAATTTGGTTATCACCGTTGTTAAGGTGATTTCATTTGAAAATGATTATTAATATTAGGACATTTAATTATGTAATTGGTGCACCCTTATATGGCCATATATGGTTTACAAAAACCAAAGTCTGATAACTGACAAAATATTATCGATGCTACAAAAAAATATATATACTTAAAATAACTATTTTGAACTCTCAACTTAAAAGTACACAAACATAATATATTATAAGGAGTGTAGTGTACGTGAACATTAATATTCAAAATTGGTACGACCTGTTCGTAGTTGGGGCCCTGGTAGAGTGTGTCTCCGAATGGGTTGGCTTCCGATGTTGAAGTCTCCTACCATGTCAGATTATACAGGATGGCTTTTAAATAACGTAAGAACTTGCCATTATCCAAAACAAGTTCAGGGTAAAAAACCATTCCTTTACAACAAATCTGACATAAAAAGTCTTACAAAAAACGCCAACATAAAAACCCCTTGTTTAAAGGAGTTTTTATAACTATACAACGTCAG